CAATTACCGAAAAGTTCTTCAGGGTAGCACGGCACCCTACGACCCTATTCCCACTTACACTGTGAGTAGCTAAGGTGCAATCAGAGGAAAAGAAGCAGAGACCAAGGAAATTGAATCGCTTTCGATATCCGAGTTTATGGAGACATTTTTATTCATTGTGTTGTTGTAAGCAGCCATCTTTTTCTCGTCCTCGCACTGCAGCTTCGGGCGCTTTTGTAGCGTATTCACGGTGCCTTATCTTTGAAATTGTTCGCCCAGTTAGTGCCATGGGCCCCATAAACGGGAAGCTTACTGAGCAGCAAAAACAAACAGAGGGATTCCCTTCGCAATGACAGAAATTATTCTCTGTGGTACATAAGGAGGAAGATTTATGTGGGGTAAGGCGTTTACCCTCAAGAAGTGTTGTGAAAATCTGAGCACCAGGATACTGTGAATTCCCTTAAAGTTATCCTGCTGTATCCGGAAGCTCACAGACGCTTTGTCCAAGAGCGACTTTAGCCATTTAAACAAGAGTGGGCCCCATAAACGGGAAGCTTACTGAGCAGCAAAAACAAACAGAGGGATTCCCTTCGCAATGACAGAAATTATTCTCTGTGGTACATAAGGAGGAAGATTTATGTGGGGTAAGGCGTTTACCCTCAAGAAGTGTTGTGAAAATCTGAGCACCAGGATACTGTGAATTCCCTTAAAGTTATCCTGCTGTATCCGGAAGCTCACAGGCGCTTTGTCCAAGAGCGACTTTAGCTATTTTAAACAAGAGTTGATAAACAATTATCATCCAACAGACTTCGTCGAAAGAGCTCTTCATCCACCGAACCCAAACACAGTCGAGAGATCCTGTATTGAGCCAACTGACACGCTGCGCACCAGGTACCGGCAGCGCAAACTTGAAAGTATTTGCTGCGTACTCTTCAGCTTCATCACCCGTACAACTTTCCAAATGGACAGCAGACTGCCCAGACAACTGGTTTACTCGAAAGATCAGCTTAAACCCGGTGACCGTATCAACTGTATCCAGAAGGTTGATCGTACCTATTGCAACTGCGTCTATATTGGGCAGACCAGCAGGCATTTGAAGGATCGAATCGACGAACACAAACAATACTGTTGAACCACTCCGACAAACGCGAGCAAGCTGAACAAACTGGAGCATTGACTGAAGATCATCGGATCGACTCGGATAACCTGCATTTCGATGGAATTTTTTTATCTCATCTTTCGGGATCGAGAAAACTATAGACTAGTTTGACAGCTGAGCTTCAATGCACTGGAAACCTTTGTTTAAAGTCCATCTAGTTTCAGTTCCAGCTTATTTGTTTGCTAAACAAAAAAAAACAACATTTTTTTGCAATATTCGCATGTACTGAGGTTGACTCCCTTCTCGAGTTCACAACCAAGTGCCTCCGGGCGCGGATGATCCCACTTCGGGGTCCTTGTTATCTCAGCCTCACGAACTTTATCGTCCGGTTAATGGATGATGACCGATGATGCAAAATCTCGAACTGCGAAATGCTGTGTCCTCGTCAGTCTCTCAACTTGTCGCAGACAGTCCGACCAACAGGTGTCCTATTGTACGGACTTATGCAAGCTTTTGGATTTCCGATAGTATGATTTCGCTCATCAGCTGAACTAGCACTCTGATTAAGGCAAGTTTCGTCCATACGTATGTCGAGCCTGTGAAAAGTTTGTGCATCTTTCGACCGTCAAACATTGCATAGTGCCGTTGCTTACTATAGGTCAGGAACAGCCCGCTGAAACCCATCTTATCTCTCAACTGCACTCAACCTGCCCCGCTCTGTTCATTTTGACAGTGCGCTTGCTGATCGCAGTGATGCTAAGCCATATTCTCTCAGGCGTGAAACCCTCTCAATTGAACTTAGGTGCATTTTTATGTTCCATAGTCAGATAGAAAATCCGCGTGGATCTAAATACTCTGATGATGCTACATAGACGGTGGAACGCGACTTTTTTGGTATGTGTCCAGGAACAAAAGGAGAACGCACAGAATTACATAAGCATAGTAGCACTAGTTGTGGAAGTATTAAGACTCCCAAATCGAATTCATTGTATCCCAAATGGCGGTCTACAAAATATGCTGGGATATTGAGATTTAAAAGGCTCAAACTGATTTCCTAGATGTTCAAAAGTGATGATGGAGAAGCGTTAGTCAAGACATCACCCAATCAACTATCAAGCCTGTGACAAAATCTTTTTTAGTTCCCAACGTATTTGATTGATGCATGACCTTCTGAATTTCACCCACAGTTTTGTCGAATTCGTCCTCCAAGATGTACAGAGTTCACGTCGATCAGCGAGATTAAAGTTCCTAAAAATTCTGAAGTGGCCTTCCAAAAGATATGACAGTTTTTAAAAAGAATCCCCCGCCAAATGTGAGGGTGGGTGAAACCATAATTTCGCAGTGGAATTACATCTTCAGTAGTACTCACCAAGTTGCAGCCAAGTTCCGTTAGCCAGGCCATTAGCAAACGGATAGACTTAATGTTCTTAACAACATCAAATGGGTTGCGTCATTGCAATTACCACAGTGTGATTGGTTTATTGTGTGATTCATTTGAAAAATCAACGATGAAGAACGTTGAGCATCAACGCTCTATGTTGTTTTTTCCTATGCGGTGCGGCCAACTCCACAAATGTATGAAGCAACGAACTATCAGAAGCACACGCTATGCTTTTGGGTCAGTTTCTACTAACAGAGGTATTTTACTACTGAACATCATCTCATGGAAAATTTCGAGTATATATTTGACTTTTTCTATGCGGAAAAATTTTCATCCACTGATGACATTCAACAAGCTAGCAAATATCTTGAGTAAACACGAAATATTGAATGACATAAATCTGGCTACTGGTGACGCGAACAAAGAGAATGGTCCAGTATTGACTCGGACCCTCAAAGTCACAAATTTTCACATAAATATACCTTATGGCCAGTCCTCGCTCCCCCGCCCCTGCCGGGTCTCAATGTTTCACAAACCCAGCTGAGTGCATTTTCAAGTCCTTTTTAAACCTGGCCTAACAGTTGTTATAATGTAAAGGAGCAAAGGCAGTTCATCCCATTGGTGGTGAAGCTTTGTCGCTACACTAAAAAACGAAGGCCACATAAATGGTTTCACCGTCGGTAGTCGCTTCATCTGCAAAACCTTGACAGACACACGAACACTGTTACTGGATTTCGAGGTCCGCAGTAGTAAGATTTGACAAAATAACATCCCCGGCCATCCTCACCTGCTAGTTTTGACTAAGTCGACCATCGTAGTTTCCTTTTGCAATACATGCAAGTGGGAACATGCATCTGCAAACAAAGAAACAACTCCAAATACGTTAGATCCGTTGGCTTATCCATTCTGGTAAGTTCATAATCTGTAAGCAAAATTGACGCAATTGCATTTATTCAGAGTTTGGGTTTGTTTGTTGAATCTACGGGATAAAACGTTTAATTCAAACCACTATGGGATTGTTCTTTTATGGCATCATGATTTAGAACGATCTCGAGGATACTGGGTCTTCGTCAAAGTAAGGAAGTCCCTCTTACTTTTGGCGATTAGCATATTCTACCTCCTAAACTGAGCCACGTACCTAGAGAAAAATGTCAGATTTGAAAGACGACCTCTGGGTCAGTGCAGAGTCAAGAGGGGAGAAACTAAGTATTACTTTGAACGATCAGATGAGTTGTCCTCTAAACCACTTCCTTCATTTCTATTTCAATTTATTGACGGACCGGCTACAGAACACCAGAATAAAAAGGGCCCTTTTAATGCTCACAATCTAAGTTGTCTCGGGTCACTGGCCATCAAAGTAACAATGCTGCAAAATGCTTTTTTATCCGCATTAATACAAGCTACCTTTTATCTTGAGTTTCAGTCTAGGTGAGTTTAAAGCCCTCCCAGGATAATTAGCTTTCATTGTTTCCACATATAATAAGGTGTTTGGGAGAATTCCTACTTTAAATTGATGAGATGACTTTGATTATCGTCCTCGAATTCCTTCGTAAATTTAGAAAATAGAAAACCACTCGTCCTCATTCCAGTATACTCAGAAGAGGGATTTTATGTATTCTACATATATCAGATAGACGATGAGTCTAATGAGTTTGCTGAGTTATTACTACAACCCTTTTCAGTTTATTGGGAACAATACAATTTTGGTGACTACCCTTCACAAAATTTCTGGTCTATGTTTCATTAGGGATGACCAAGCTATACAGGTAGAAAGCCACATTTAGAACCCATGTTCCCATTGACTTTGAGAATCGAAGAAGAAATTTTTAGATGGCGCAGTTAAGTTAGAGTCAAACAGGCCATAATTGCACATATTTCCCAGCCAATTTAACATTATCTAATTATCCGTGAGTAAAAGTCACGTGAATGCATGTTGGCGACGAAACTTTAGGGTTATTCAGTTAATTCAGGCTTTATGGAACGGCGGCTAAGGGGTCCGTCCTTCCACATACCCAAAAATGAGGCTGGTTTTGGTGAGCCGCTTACTTTTCTGTCTTTCACTTACGGACTAACATTCGGGTTTATGAACGGAGGTTTGCTTTTTTATAAGCTACCTAGTGCATTTGTGTAATGTCTCTGTTTGGTCAGTTAACATGGTCTTACAAGGAACGTGAAAGCTTATGGGAAGTGAACATTGTCAGTCGTGCTGCTTGTCTGTCTGTATTTCCATTTCCACTGTCGCTGCCTGCTCGATCGAGCGCGAGTTGGCCAATCACATGAAAGAAGCGTCGTATGTGTATGGAAGCAAGGCTATTGTAAACCTTGCCCATTATTTTATCAACATTCCCTAAACTGGTGTTCAGTGATGCAGTCAAACGGATTACCTCACGTGTGAATTTTCATTTAAGAAATAACTAATGACTGAATTGTGATACCTTTACATAAAACATGAATATCTGCCGTCGGATATTAGCAAAAATCCTGTCACAGCTGTGTACAAGACAGTGATCAGACCAAGCAGCTCAAACAAGCACCATTGCTATGGACCTGTCATCGACCTCAAAGATGCAGTGTGACCGATATATGGAAAAATCCGCATGCGTGACAACCAGCGAGGCTCAGCTTACAAAGTTTAACTCATTTGAGTCCGCCCTTTCGATTACCAGGAAGAATACATTCCGAAGCAAAAGCAAGCAAGCTCTGTGCAGTAGCTTCCCTGAAGGTTCTGATTCACAGGCTCTACCCACAGCATTCATCGTGACGACTGCTGGGCACACATCTTCAACGCACTCTCAAGCGTCGTCAACTGGATCCATTAAATCCGTATCAAAGAAAGAAAATTCATCAGGAAAACCAGGAAAAGATCGTGGATGGAATGCAACTGGAACGCATTCTCAATCGGGTCATTCGTCTTCCATAAGTTCGGAAGTTAGAGAACGGCTAAAAACGTGTGTCTTGAATAAGCTAAAAAGCCAGGAACAAGAAATTCGAATTTTGAATGGGGACTCATTAAGAACGGAAGCGAAAGGGCTGGATGTACAAAACACTCCTCTCAAGATTAGTTGTTCGACCAATCCCGCCGATCCAACTTTCGGGCAGCTGTCACCCAGTTCGCAAAACCAGAAAACAGGAACTCGGTTAGAGTTAAAAAATACCGAGGGCAACACAAAGAGTTTACCAAATGAAAGTTTATTTACAGATATAACCCACTCCAGCCTAAACTATGGAAGTCTACAGTCACATTGTTTGGGATCGTTCCCATATGACAGAACGCACAATACTCCTCAGAGGCACTCATGTAATCCTAAGTCTGGTGATCATCTACGAAAGACCATGTCTGAACCAAGTCTAAAACCGCGCGGAACCGCAGTTTACCGACACCGCAGCCGCATTGAACGTAGGCATTTAAATGCATCTTCAGCCACTGCTGTGGCCGCTGCGATGGCTGCTTCGGTTGGAATGAATGCTGGTACGGAGTTCAGCACAAGCCTTTATCAGCAGCTTACATCCAATGCGAGGCAGAGACAAATACATTTATTGCAGAAAACAGAGTCGCAACCGATCGATTCGGATGTGCGCATGGATACGTCTGAAGAGGCTAACATAAACTCGGAGGAGGTAAACGTAAACACATCGGTCGAAGCAGGCGGAGAGACTGTCTCTCCAAATGCCTTACTAGAACTCCTCGCTGCAGCCTCTGGAATGCTGAACACCAGCTCTGGTGGTCTGGTTTCTAATCTGTTTACTAATGCCATTGACTCCAAACCTGAAAGCGATGTAACCAAGGGTCGCGCCTCAAACAATACTACAAATGCCATTTCCCCACCGGGTATTTTCCCCGCGGAACCTAGTGATTTTCGTGCAAGTCTACCAAATCTGACAAACGCCACGCCACTTCGGGTAGATCAAACGAGTTTCCAAGCAGACTATTCTGATGCTAAGTTGAGAACACAGCCACAAAAGCCAAATGAAGCCAGAGCACGGTCATCGTCATCGGCAGTCTCACGCACAGAAAGCCTACAACCAGCTGTGAGTCATAAGAGTTCGGAAGCTGATGGTAGTAAACCAAGCCATCAGGCGTTCCAAAGGAAGCATCATACACTGGGTTTGATAAGTCGAACTCGGTCCGCCCCACTGGGACTTGCTGGCAGCGGTAATGCTATGAGGTGTCTTCCTGGTTATGGAAACATCGCTAATCTTCTGGGGTCACTAACATGCAACTCCTCTGCGACCTCTGCCGCCAATGTGTTGGCGATGGAGGCTGTCACTTCCAACTTTGAGCCGAATAGGTCGAGTAAAGAAGACGGTGAGGTTTTGTCACAGAATAGTATGGACCAAGAACAGACATCTAATGCAGCGCAGCAAGGCACTGAGGAACCACAAAGAAGTAAAGCTGTGATGCAGTTAAGGAAGAAACTTTTGGAAAGGTAATTCTTTTAACCATATTCATAAGACATTCCTTTAAGTAGTATGGTATTGCCATAAATTTGCTGGCGTTAAGTCTTAAATTGACTAGTTGTGTCCTCTCTGGACAGTTGTTCTACTGAGCCTGGCCAATCCAGGCTTGTACTTTACTGAGTAGGGTATATTTATGGAGTGAGTTAGGGTCCAAATATATGGCGTAGTTTTCCTTCAAAATTTACAAACAAATGTCCTGTCTGCCCAGACGTTTTTTTTGAGGAAATGATGGACAGAAGGATATATGATAGTAAGAGATTGTCCACTGTTATGAACCGAGAGAAGTCAGTCGGATGTAGTCTAGCTGCTGTGTGACAAAAATCATCAAACTAATCTGAATATGTAATCTAAAGTCACTCCCCTCGGGTGGTGAGCACAGGTCAGTACAACCTGCCAATATCCAAACAAGCCTTTGTCGGACTACACGTTTGGGCAGCTTGGGTTACACTTGCCTAGAAAACGTGATTCAATCTATGGTTCCCTTCATAGTTATCTCTTAAGGGGCTATGGGGTCAATGTAGCCGGCTACGAGCATACACTTCATTCTCTTAAAGGTCAACATTTTACTGATTGCAGATCATGCCGTAAACGACCATATTTTTAGTAGTTCCGTATGCTTTGCAATCTGGTCTTTTAGAATCTAATCTTGTATCTCAGTGCCATTGTTAACTGAAAATGAAGGGACGAATTACCTCTAAATTATTCTGGACTCAATTTTTGCGTCTGATACCTAGTTTAATCACAGTGATTCGGGAAAGGCAAACTCAGCAACAAAGTGAATAAAGGGTGGACGAAGTATAAAAACTTCGATGTTCTTCTCAATCACCGAGGACAGGTTTCCGAATTGACGGTCGGCATCTAAAATTGGTTTATGTGTTGAGACCATAAGGTCGAACTAGAGATCTACTGTGTTGAAAAGTTTTTAGTAGGAGCCCTAAAACCTATCGGGTTTTCACTGGCAATTGGGTTAGTTTGAGGTTTAGTATGCTTAGAACAATGCATCTACAGTGGTTTCCCGGATAACGTCCAAAAAGAGAGTCCAGCCCCTCAGCTGGAAATATTTCAGTACAGTCTCTTGGGGTTTGGTATGAAGCGACATCATTTAAAGTATCACTCCAGATTTTCAGAATGGACCACTTGGGATGTCTCAAAGCTGGGCTGCTTCCTCCCAACCAAGACCAGGTTGCAAAATTTATGGTTTGACTTCTCCCAGAACAAGCAAAAAACAAACAAACACATGACTAATAGTATCACAAACATATTTGTCTCCAAGTGGTCGTTTTCGCCACATAAGTCTAATTTTCACAAAAGGGTGGAAATTCAGAATTCCAATATTGCATATGCCGCTGATGACGCATTTTCGGTAATGACGGCATCCATATTATACTTTCTGTAATAAGGAGATCACTGTCGGGTGGATCTACAATGCAACGAACGCACCATTGTGGGATATGAATAGGGAATTCGTTTACAAAAGCAAAGTACGCTGTCCAGAGATGGTCTGAATACACAATAAATTGTTCTTTGATAATCATTCGCTATGATCTGTATCCCTTATTAACACCACTCGTTATCAGGTATGGGGGTAGGGTGTTGCGAACGCACAATGATATGGGTCAACTAACGTTCATTATGCCACAATAAGGGTCTTACCAGGTACTGACCATGACCCCATACAAATTTACACCATCTGCTTGAGTGCGGTCACACACTCCAAAAACTTTAAAGACAAATAAGCATGATCGAATAGCAGCGCAGGTCGGTAAGTATTAGGATAAACTAGACAATTCCGGCTTGATTACACGCAGGTAACAACAATTCACAGGTTAAATGCAGTACAAAAAGGCACACATAAACAACTGGTCTATTTCGGAAAAGAGCTTGCTACTGAACTATACGCTTCATAATTCAAAGTGACTCTATTGGAGCATGGTCTCTTCTGATATTTTTTCGTGAGTGGACAGCCAAAATGTTGTAAAACTGACTTCAAAATCTGAAGGTTGCCGTAACACAGAATATAGGAGTAGAATACCGGTTGATGATGCCACACCAAGCAAGTCAGTTCCACAAACAGACAAGCACTTATTACACTTCCGTAGACTCTCCATAGCCTTAAACGGTTTCGATAAAAGATTAATTCCTCAGAATGTTCACAGTTGAGCGAGGGTGGCTACAGTGAGACCATGCACAAGTAAGGACCCAGTCGGTGGTCTCTATTGCAACTTCACTCAGACTTACCGAAAAGACGGAAACCTATTGGAGTTTGGTCAGCATGTGTCATGGTTTTAGCGTTACTGGGCAGAACAGTGGGATGCTGGTTATATGGGAGGGGCTGTGAAGACTGGCCTCAATGTTGTCACTAACTTCATTGTACATTTTTATGAATATTCAAATTTGAGACACGTATGTTGTTATTTGCTCGTGTGGTTGTCTGGTGACCTTTTTTGTCTAAGGGAGGTCGCCCCCCAATATAAAAAATTTTGGCCGTTACTCACGCGTGGATTATATCTGTGGAGACTGTTGTGTTTTCTCGATGACCTGAAATATGGCTTCCACCAAAACAAGTTCAGATGATAAATACTTCATCATAGTGTGCTCCGCTTGCATAACCCTTTGTGCATCAGCAAGCTAGTGAGTGTCTTTGACCAAGTCCTGAGCTGAGCCACACCCGTTACTCAGGTAAAAAGTCGTTCGCATGTTCAAATAACTGCAAGATTGCTGAGGGTTGAGGGTTAGAATGGTGAACACACCTGCGTGGCATATTTGGCAGGCGGTCACTTTAGACCTCGGATATACAAAGCCTGCATACGGTATAAAAGTTATTATTGCGTTCAATGAATCTTTCATATTGGTTTTCGAACTTTTCAAATCAATAAAATTACGGTCGAAGTTCAGCTTCGCGAAAACGTTGGTGGTTATGAACTGGGCACAGATTCCAACTGACCAAAAGCTCGGGCATATTTTGGAAGTAAATAATCGATGTTTGCATACTAGAATCTTTCAAAACCTATAAATCAATAAATCTATAAGAATCAGTCTTGGGCCCCATTAACTTTTAACATGAGTTTAATAATCTGTTTCTCAATAACTTGCTTGGGTCGAAATGGGGCGCGGTAAAATTCAAGCAAAAAATCATCTCTTGTGAAATGCAATTTTTGGACAGATAAGTTTTAAAGGGTCTAGTGTCACTTGAAGACAAGGTAATGTGCAAAATCGCTGTAGTTCAAGTGAAATGTCGAGTTGCATAATGTATCTATGGCTTAAAATACAGAATACATAATCCCAAACCATCTGGTAGTGGTTAAATTTCAACGACCAATTCATGCCGAAAATTTTACAAGGGCGAACAAAGATTGTGGGGCGAGAATCATCGGTTGTATCGATTTGTGAATGTTGGTTAAAACACCCGTCCGTGTTCAATTCACTAAACTCTATTTTTCGTAGATTTTTCCTCCTCCCATCACGTGACTGGGTTGTAAACGATTGGTCAGTGGGTAGGCAACGTTCCTGTGCACACGAGAGAATCATGCAACTATGCCATCTGAACAATAATCACAGACTGCGTTTAATTAGTGTCGTGAACTGTCTTGTGCTTGATTTTCTCAAGTTTACATCTTTTATTCGTATTTCGTGTCTACTATTCTGTACTCTTTTAAAAAGTAACTGTTTTCCAATTTTTCATTAAACATTTTCCTCTTTTAGAGTTTGATTATTTGGCACCTTTACACTGAAGATGTAATCAGGTCTGAGATAACCAAATTCATTCAGGGAAGCTGATATGATATCAAAATTCTGAGTTTCCTTATACGGCAGAGTAAAGTTCTGGTGTAGAACTCGGAAGACAATCCTAATTACCGTAAGAAATCAAAAGGGCACTTCCCATCAGCCTTATTAGGATACACTGCCTCGTTTTCGAATTTACCAGAAGAAACCTGATTTCAATAATTTACGATACTTGAAGCGAAGCTCACTCAAACTTGAAGGCGCCAATCCAGACCTCTAGGCACCGCCCAGGATAGTTGTGCCACATAGCGAAGAGGCCAGTAAGGGAATCCCAGGCTCGTTTCTAGACTCAAGGTTTGTGTCTGGGCAAGCGACTACTGTCCTTACAGCAGGACTCCCACAGATAGTGCTTATAACACCTTCTAAATACTTAATCGTTTATTGTACCTTGTGGCCAAGTCCTCAAAGAAAGACTTGGACACCATTGAATAAAAATCTGAGTTTGTAATTTCCCTTATACACAGCCGATAAGTTTAACAATGTGGATAAAGACCAGTTGGGTTACCGCTTTAATTACGTGAAGTGTTGTCTGCCAGCTGATTTTGTTTCGCCTCCATAAGACCTGTGTGTTTGCGGGAAAATATGCCGTGCCAGATGATCAAACCCAAGTATCTTGACGCAGGGATGTCTCCGATTTAGGAGTCTCCCGTTAAAGTGTGCTTGTGAGGGGAATTCTGACTTACTGCCATTAGTCACCGAACAGATAGCTCCTGACCAGTAAGTAACCGGATCAGCAACTGCTTTGGTGTCTTCTATGCTTTCAACAACGTTATTAGTTTATTCAAAGTATTCAGTATCAGAACTTGTCGTAGTTGCGAGTCTCGATATCACTCAGTGTCCGTTGAATTGCACTTAATTGTGAGGCCAAATAAAAAAAAGCGACAAATGGTTTCCTTGTGTCTCATTGCAGATGACGTTTTTACTGTCAATAACCGATGCCAGAGCTCCTGAAATCATGTCCTTAGCTATTAAGCTTTGAAGTGACTGACAGCTAACATCGCGGCTGATGGCTGATTTGGAGTGCTGTTGTATCAGCTTTTTCAGGCTTGTTGGCAATCAGGGTTGCTAGGCAGTGAAACAATCCGTTCTAATCACGTTCACCTTCCTGATGTTGTATATAATTTATTACCTGTTCCATAGCGTAGACCTGACCAGTTTCGGTATATCCTAGGTGAAACATATGAGG